TATTAAATAACTATAAACTACGAAAGTTTGAGGTATTTACATGCAGTAGTTTATGAAACATTAGCGTTCAAAGATGGTGATTAGCTCATATAATCTTTAGTCTAAAAATTGGAGTTTGTAAAACCGTTTGACGAAAAAAGTATTTCATATGGGAAGCTCAAAACTGCGAGGAAAGCTTATTGTGCTATGTTGTTTCATTGTTCAGTGCTGATTTACTGATAGTTAGGTTAAAACGCACCTCAAATCGTACGTGCTGAATACCCCTGCAATCCCCCTGCAATAGAAATCTGAAGCTTTTACGTCATGTACCGTATATAGTATACGCAATGCATTGTAGGATATGTTTTGGACAGTATACACAAACATAAGCGTTACTTTACGTAAAATATAATCTATTTGTCTACACAGCAGTGTTTGAGGCACTTGACTCGGTACAATTTCACAGAAAATCAAATAATCAATATAAGTTGCTAAGTTCAGTTGCATAAAGATTTTGACCTAACTAAGCTATGACCCATTATCAGCTCTCTAGAGCTTAGAATTTGCGAAGGATTTACAATTTCGACCGTTTGACAAGCTTAACCTGAAAGTGAAAGTATTTTTTGAGGGACTTTCCCCGTCACAAGTCTGTTTGGCCAGTTTGTCATACGGAGCAAAGATAAATTATAATGTTTTGTCTGGATAAAATATATAGAAGCTCAGATATTATGTTTCAATACATATAGAGAGAACTTTCTAGAACTAAACTAAACATTACCTGAAGAATATATTTGATAAGTTAGATCGAAAAAGATCGTATTTTAGAAATTAAAGAATGAGCTTGGGACATGAAGCTATGGTGTTTATTATTGTCCCATCATCATTATTTTCATTATAGTGATTTCTTTTATTATCATTCAGGGCGAAGCAAGTCATCAGCGCAACCTGAAAAATGTCAAAACCGAAATATGAAGAGATTATGAAAAAATTTGTAACACGACCACGTGATTATTACAGCAATATTGCATGGCCGTTCGGTGCGGTGGCCCTGTGCCGACTTTCATACCGCTGTCTGTATACAAATTACTTCAAAACAAGGCATTTGGTATTCAGAAGTAGAAGACGTTCAGACCACGCCGAGGCACAACTGATAGCGTTTCTTCGCACGTGTAGAGACCTGGATGGATCTTCTTCTATTTTCATTGAGGTTTTTCAGAATCTCTCCCCGTGTAATGATTCAAGAAATGAAACTTCATGTGCTGAGAAAATCATTCAATTTAAAAGATACATGGAGAGCTTGGGAAAGGAAGTGCAGATTATCATTACATTCGCTAATTTCTATCGTACTGAGCCAACTTCTAGAAATTCTCGTTCTAGAGCAAACCGAAACGTCCAAGGCCTACAAATGCTTCGTGACAATGACATAGAGCTTCGACTTTTAACTGGCGAAACAGAGTGGAGAAGTTTTTTATGTGATGATCAACTGCTCAATCTCAGTGAAAACGAGAGGTGTGCTTGTCTAAGCCAGGCTCTTTCATTTGATGGTGTTTGCAGAGAAATGGATGATAAATGGTTATTCCAGAAAATTCTAGGATTTGCTGGAAATCGACTTTCCTTTAGGGAATTAACTTGTAATGCCCTAAGCCGGGCTCAAGACAATTTATGTCAACCACAGGTCGTGCTTGCTTGTAAAATAAGCTATTATATTAACGATAGGTTATATGGTCCTGAATGCGCCGTGTTTCGCAGTGGTGTGGAATGCGCTGAAGCTAAGCTTTTGCACTATCTAACACGTCTTTACTCTAATGTNTCAAGCCTTGCTCGTTTTTCTTGTGCTCATGCTTATGCTTATTTTGAGCCCGTTCTCATTGGCGCATATGACTCTCGTGCTTCGTGCTTATGCCTATGCTTATGCGCTAGTGAAATCCACGCTTATGGTATTGTAGAGTCAGCAATGGGAGCAAGTAGATTACAAACATTAAATGTGTGCAATACTTTCCACTATTTACTACAAAATAGTGTTAATTAAAGAATAGAAAAACAATAAAATTAGCATAATTTAGCAGTTAGTTTAGTGGTATTTATGTTGCACAGTTTTAGTGTTTGTACTCTAATATGTAAATATACTTTAAATTCAATTTACAGACAAGATGTCCTTTTACAAGACTTTGTAAATTTCATGTACAATCTGTAAATATCTTGTGAATTTTGCTCGATCAAACATTGGAAATATCTTAAAAAACAATTTGCAATGTTTGTGAAAACATTTTTGAAACTCAAATCAGTTAAAATTATTTGAGAAATTGCTGTAAAAATAAGTTTTGGGATAAATGGGGCAAACTGATCATGCTCGAATCACTTTACAAAGCACTCTTGTCATCCCACATTGAATACGCATTAAGTAAAATGGAACCGCTTTTGGCTGTTAACTGCAATCGGTTGACATCCAGCATTGGTCAATGATCAGGTATCACAGCTGAGACCTTTGCTAGGGTCAYGGACCTTTATATCTGATAAAGGTCCCTTATAGACCAACCCAAATTCGCTCGGATGAACACGAAACAGTGGCTTCATTTCGAGGCTGGAGTTTTCGACAAAAGATAAAACTCCAGCCTCATGACGCCATTGTTTCGTGTTCATCCGAGTGAATTAGGGATTGGTCTATTAGTATTCTTTGTATAAATAATACTAATGAGGAGTGTTTTATCAGATATAAAGGACCTTGCATGTGACCAAATAGGCTCATTCTATTGGCCTAATACCTCATTAATTATGTATGAGTGTTTGAATACTATTACAAATACTATGTTCACTGTTGGCTCCCTAAAAACGAGGGCTCGACTAACTATCCAAATAGGCTTATTTGACAAGCTACTATGCCGTCGCTCCTCTTATGTCTTTCGTCTTTCTGATGGCTATTGAACTCTGAGTGCAGTATACAGTAGCATCGCATTATATTTATTAGTTTGGTAGTATTAAAGAAACTATCAATCGTTACCGTTAATATTTTTACATCTATCTCAACCATCAGTATAATTCATATTTTAGATGCATTTGTTTTTTATTAAAAAATACCGGGCATGAACTAAGGATTTTCACGCGCAGGGCATGAACTAATACTTTCCACATGCCGGGCATGATCCTACTTGGTTAGATCCCAGGCTCCCGCGGAAATTATTCCTCTCGGCGGACCGAGCAATTACTGCGTTTCGGGCATTGAGAATTCATCTACATGCTATATGACCGTAAATAAACGGTAGCGTCGCATCGCGCAAACGATAAAACTCGATAGCATCTGAGTAGCATGAAAAATATCACGGCCTGCCCAGTTGGCGAGAATTTTATATTACACTTACTGTGCATGTCACAAATGCGCAAATTACCTCTTAACGTGACTTGTATGAGATACAATAGGTGGTTAATTAATGTAGATTAGCATGAAATCGTCCTCTTGAAGGAGTTATACATAGCCACGGCATGAATTATGGCTTAAATTCATGCTTATGACAATGATTGTGTGAAAATTGGATCAAAATTTCACTTTCTAACCCGTTTTTATCATTTTTTCAAAAGGCAAGAAATTTTATCCTACCAATGACGTCACGACCGAAATTTTACGAGGTTATGAAAAAATTTGTAACACGTCCACGTGGTGATTGCAGAAAAAAGAAATGGCCTTATGGTGCAGTTGTCCTGTGTCGAATTTCATACCTCTGTTTTTATAATCAACAATTGAAGACAATGCCTATAATGGTATTCAGAAGCAAAAGGCATTCGGACCACGCCGAAGCACAACTGATAGCGTTTCTTCTCACTTGTAGAGCCTTATATGGATCGCCTTCCATTTTTGTTGAGGTTTTTCAGAATCTCTCCCCGTGTAATGATTCAAGAAATGAAACTTCATGTGCTGAGAAAATCATTCAATTTAAAAGATACATGGAGAGCTTGGGAAAGGAAGTGCAGATTATCATTACATTCGCTAATTTCTATCGTACTGAGGCAACTTCTAGAAATCGTACTGAGGCAGCTTTTGGAAATTCTCGCTCTAGAGCAAACCGAAACGCTTATAGAAATTCTCGCTCTAGAGCAAACCGAAACGTCCAAGGCCTACGAATGCTTCGTGACAATAACGTAGAACTCCGACTTTTAACAGGAAAAACAGAGTGGAGAAGGTTTTTATGGGATGATCAACTGCTCAATCTCAGTGAAATCGAGAGATGTGCTTGTCTAAGCCAGGCTCTTTCATTTGATGGTGTTTGCAGAGAAATGGATGATAAATGGTTATTCCAGAAAATTCTAGGATTTGCTGGAAATCGACTTTCCTTTAGGGAATTAACTTKTAATGCCCTAWGCCGGGCTCAAGACAATTTATGTCAACCACAGGTCGTGCTTGCTTGTAAAATAAGCTATTRTATTAACRATAGGKWATATGGTCCTGAATGCGCCGTGTTTCGCAGTGGTGTGGAATGCGCTGAAGCWAAGCTTTTGCACTATCTAACACGTCTTTACTCTAATGTAGGAAKAATATACGTAGAAGTAGTTCAAAATAATTTTCCATGCGCTGAGCGTTGTCYCCAAGGATTTTCGTGCGTTGAAAGTCTACTGCGATATAAAAGAGGTGTAGAAGCAAGAGGGAGAATGGTATCCATGRCAATATYGYATACAAATCTACCGCAAATGRTGCKTAMCATACGGGAACGGCTCGATGYACAAGCCCTGRGAAATGAACCAGGTATCACAATACGCCGATTAACTACGTTTGAAAGTATTATTCACGCCTACCTATCCTGTGGTTAGATATGAATATAAGCTCAGCGAAAAGTGCTCGGTGTTAAATTTGTCTTTTTATAAAACTGTTTCTTTACAACTGACACCGACGCAGCTCCCACTAGTTTCTACCCTTTTTCTCCGTCTGAAATATGCAGGGGCGGGCATATGAATATCAGAAGGAACTTATCCAAATTGGGAAGAATCTGCATCCTTTTCATTCAAAATACTTGTATGTACTCATCGATACTCACCATGTCGATAACGTTRATAGAATCGATAGATAACAGCGTAAAGCCAACAGTCACCACCACTGGACCACCTTTGATGAATATTTTACAATTTTAATAAACTAGAGACACAAATGTGGAAATAATGCAATRAAGTGTGATTCACCAGAAGTTTTACTTTTATTTATTTATTTTTTGTAATGGACCAAAACATTTTTACATTAACTACAGTTGCTAAAAGAATGAAACTTTACGACCTAATTGTTGCTTTCATACAGGAAAAACAAAAGAAATCATCAAACCACAGTGATTCCAAGAAAATGTATAGCGGGTAATGGATACTATTTTTTGAATTTCTTTTTTGTTTATTAGGTGTTTTTCGGGTTTTCGGGCATCAAATGTGATACCTAGTCTTTAAGGAATATAAAATGCGTTTATTTAAAAGTCCCGTACAGTCACACTTACGCAATTACCTTCGTAATTCGGTCGGACTCTGCGGTCATAGCCAGTTAGCAATTTGTTTAATACTCCTGTTATTGTCTTTATTCTATAAAACAAAACAAAGGTCAGTATTAATGTAAACATATATTGGATTGATATATCCTCACTTTGAATGGCAGCGAGAAAGCAAGACCAACCATTACAGCACTTGCACCGAAAACAACAACATCTGCATCAGCAGCAAAAGTAACAGCAACAACAACAACAATAACAACGACAATGGCTAATATTAATGATGGGATCTAACCTGAACTGATCCAACAACAACAACAGCAACCAACAAGAGCAAGAACAAGAACAATAACTAGTATTAACGAGGTGAATGTAAACTCAACTGGACTGAACAAAAGCAATGGGAACAACAGCAACAACAACAACAACAATAACAGCAACAACAACATCAACAACAACAACAACAACAACAACAACAATAACAACAACAACAACAACAACAATAACAGCAGATAATATTAACGAGGTGAAGGTAAATCAACTGAACTGAAAAAAAAACGTGGTCATGGACACAACATCGTTAAAAACTACAATAACAACAACTCCTGGGGCATCATCAAGTGTAACTACAACAAAGCAAAAAGTAAAAATAAATCAATAAATCAATGGCGACACATGACTCGAAGATTGTTAGACAAGTATACCGTGGACATAAATCTGTATGAATCCTCAGACTTTGTTTAGATGTGGTCTAATTTCGACAAAAAATCTATAAAATAACAATATTGAACTTGACATTTTGAATTTAATAATTTATATGCATCCGTAACACCTTAACGATATCGACAATGAATTATCAACACCATCACAATTTCATAGTTTGAAGTGGTGATACTTTCACTTTGAATGCTGACCGTTAAAATTTATATTTTGCGTTCTTACATGTTGTAGTGTTGTCCATGCATCGATTTTTTACGAAGGATAAAGTTTATATGAATCGATGAGCATTAAATACTGATCGACATATATTGGAATAATCCTTGAAATCATCGTAATAGAATTAATGCTGTATCTATGAGCCATATTGACACGATGTCTCCTGAAACGACTTCTGAAATCAACAGATTAATTGGTAAGAAGCTTATACAAGAACGTCCAGACCTCAAAAATGACATTTTGTGTGTTTAAAATCAAAACACCTGGCCATCTTGGTTACGGATTTCCAAATGCCCGTATGTTTACAGAAAAAATAAGTGACCTATTAACTAGTCCATCTCACCTCACACACCATCATCTATCTCCCTCCTATAACTCTTCGATTGCTTCGCAATCTTCGAGTTAAAAAAACACAACAATTGCAAAACAAAGACACAAAGAAGTGAAAATAACAAATAAAAATGCGTGCTAGTATAAGTCCAACGATTTCGTTTGTCTTTATTCTAGTACCACAGTAATAAATTTGTTGATTGGCTTCTTCGTTAGTCTCCTTCGCAGCCTCCCCTTTTGTCGGGCTTGAGGGACAGGAAGCCCGACAAAAGGGGAGGCTGCCAAGGAGACTACTTCTTCATAGACAACGATCGAGGTCGAGTGAACCTCGTCGTCATAGTCGATTAKGCCGTACCTACTTAACTGAACGGACTTTCTACTCATAGTTCACAAGACCAAGTAGTCTAACTGTTTAGTACCTACCAAAATATATTTTTCCCGACATTTTTTGACTATTTTTGCTTTATTCCAAGCGACCATGGTCATAACATTAATACACCATAGTTTAATCAGTAGCCAATCAGAATGCTGGATTTGTAAGAGGCAATAGTTTGTTGGATACTAAAATACTTGATATGTTTTTTTTAAATAATTTTTTGTGCCCCAGGTGTCATGGCATATTTCTTATTGTAGATCGACTAAGCATCGGTTAAGGATATAGTATTGTCCAGCTTTTARTAACGAGTAGCTTACCTCAGGACTGAATGTAATATTTCCTAACTTGTGCTGGAATGCTCTCGGCAATAATAAGTGTTAAATGTGCTGACATCTCGTAAGATAAACTGTAAGCCTTTTTTTAATTATCAAATGCAACTCGCTCATTCTTCGTTTTTTTCTAAMTTRTCTTCTTTTTTGTCTTGCATTCCTCATTGCATTTTAAMATTACTTGTCCTTTCTTTCGTTTGTTCAATTGCATATTCTTAAACTCCCCCCCTTTTCTCATCCTTTCTTTAATTTTTGGCTTCCTTCCTTTCTTCCAACTTCCTCAGATTGTCATTTTTATTCCCTTTATTCCCTTTCTTCCCTTTTCCCTCCACTTCCTTTTTCCTCTCTATATTCTTTCTTTCTTTTCCTTTTTTCACTTTCTTCAGTAATCATGAACAGAATCTTATAAGCTTTGACTTCATATGAGAGTTATGCTTCATTTTTCGACACCTGTTCCTGCATCAATATTTTTTTGACAATGCATCTCAGCTKCTATATATTTAGACTGAATTCCTCTTTAAACATACTCAAGCTCGGGGTTTGTTTTAAACTACAAAGTGCTTAACAGTATGCACTCTAAATTATTTATATTTAAAACAATCTTATCAAAGCTCTCAAAGTGCATTACAAGGTTGTAAATATTTCATTGTCTGATAACACAACCAACATAGCTCTAGTGGTTATGATATTAAGCAAGGAYCATAGCCTCAGGATGATAGCGGCTTAACGGTGAGTGATCTAAACGAATACAACACACACTTGATTATATCTAAAACCCATTTACACTAACTAAATGAGTTTCATGACGCCTTATTTTACACCGTAGCACCAATTGAGTATCGCGATAATTCATTTGATAATTTCTTAGTGAATGTTATTGCGGCTCGCTTAATGATAACTCGCCGGCAGAMGCGTTGGTAGCACTTTCTTAGAAATCTCTCTTTTAGTGTTTATTGCTCATAATGATAATGAAAAAAGAAAAAAACCAACTGATAATGGGATGTCGGGCGTCCATACTCTGAAAATAATAAAAACCATTTTAGATTTTTTTGGGTGTGAAAATTTTAGCCGTTTTCGTTCGAGACTGACAGCCTAAAACACATCATCCCAAAAGAGATATAGAGAATCCATATAGAACAAACCAAAATACGGATGCCAGTTAAGATTTAATTTAGAGTTAGTAAGCTTATCTTTGAAAACAATAATAATATTCTTTTTAGAAGAGATTTCCAAATCTAAATTCATCTAACGAGGGATAAAAAAAAGAACAAGAAGAACAAGAAGAACAAGAAGAACAAGAAGAACAAGAAGAACAAGAAGAAGACGACGAAGAACAAGAAAGGTAAAGACTTTGTCCTGGACCCAATTTAATGTTTCCCGTACCAAATCTGATTTATTGTTCAGCGTGCAAGAGTCTTTGTTTTTAACGGAGAGACACTTCTTACACAAATTACAACTTTGACACTTTAAAACCCCCTTACTGCAATGTTATAGCTAGGACCTTGTGCTCCTAAAAACACATAGTTTTTAAATTGAGCTGCAATTGAACACAATTTACAGAAAGCTTGATTAGAAAAAGAAATTCAAATAGAAATCGACGAATGAATTTTGACGTCTGACCATGCTCTAAGTAAAATACTTACAGTGATTATAGTATTGCCTTGTTCTACACGTTCAATATGTAAATTGATATTTGGATTTTTTTTCATGATTCTGTGTTTTTTGATATTATCCTTGTAGATTTATCCAATTTACTACTTYAGCGTCAAGGTGACGTACGTTGGTATTTGAAGCGAAGGACCTAAAAGTTTAGTACCTTAAGAATTAATTGTTTGAATTATGTTTCTTTTCTAAATATGTTGTTTTTGTTTGTTTGTCTAMTTAATAATTCTATTATGTAATATTTCACAACCTTAATGCTGTGCTACAGGGGTTGAAACTTCAATTAGTAATGCTGAGTTCAACTCTATCTAAGTATTTTGTTTTCCTAAAACAATTGGAATAGCTCTCAACGTGTAATTAATAACTTTGCTCAAACATGTACAATTTCGAGTCAGTGTCCTTGCCGCAGTAGTTCGCAACATGCACAAAAAAACATTTAAAGCTTTCATCAACGCATATTTTAGCTACTATGTCCTCAATTTTTCAGTGATAACAATTTTCATGTTGTTTTATTGTGACACGGCTCTCAGGGCTATCACAGTTTGAGCTGTTCTATAATCTATGAAAAACACATTTGATTCGCAATTCAGCTCCAAAGACAGTGATTCCCATCTCTGCAAGGGTTAAGCTTCGATCCTTTAACTTTTTGAGTATATTATAAGTTTTCTATTGTAATTTTTTTAATTTGCAGCGATGATAAGTGAAATTATAATTAATATGTTAACACGTCACTGGTTTAAAATATGTACTCCCTCTGTTTGACTTCTTTTATAAAAGACTTTTAAATATACTTTAATTTTCATAATTTTGCGATTTTTTTTTTTACATTTTTTTTTTCGGAACTAGARGAAGATCTAAATGATGTCTTATTTATATAGTTCAAGCAAAAATGTATATTAAAAAAAGTCAGTGTTAAGTTAGAGAATGCTTAATCATAAAAACAAATATTTTTCATTTTTTTATTCGATTGTAAAAGTGAAGTAACATCCGCGGACTGWATTCAAATWGTCCACACTTGYGAAAATGTTGMTTTTCGCCGACCAAAAATATTTATCATAGAAGCTCAACTGTATTGAGTTACGATTTTTTTTCTTTGTTACTATTTCTCTAGTCTATTAGAGAGAAATTTAGCCTCTGTCGGCTTTCACAATTGAAAAAAACAAAACAAAAAACAATTGATTTATATACCTTAAGCTCGCTATAAAAACCAAAAACAAGAAAAAAATCTACTATGTTATTTATACCATAAATATTGCATAGGRACAAATTTTCTTTCAACACACAAACTGAGATTAAAACCAATGCTTTATATAAACAGCTCCCCAACTAGAAAAATAAATTATTTGTTTAAAAAATTTGTACACAAAACATTTTACCTACCCTCCAGTAGTACCATTGGAATCTTTGTATGACTGGCAGATACAATTGGGCGACCAGGAACAAAAAATRAAAATGTAGAATATATAGTTAGACATGTTGATAGATGGCCRAACCGTTGCTGAAGACACGATCGAGCGTCGCAGCGAACTCAAAGAGGTTTTTACACTTAGCGGTGTTCAAATTCTAAAGTAATWCAACGAATTATTGAATAAACAGGATCAGCCACTACCGATGATTCGCTTATAACAATCTTATATGGTACTATCAATGGCATTTCCCTATCCAGAGAAATTATTAATTAATGCGTTGACCACAACATTGAGTAAAGAACGCACCGCAATTATTCATTTATATAATAGTTATTTCGAGTACCATTGGATTGAATCCATAAACAATGACGTCAGATTATTTGAAATATAATTGATTTTTCCCTTTTTCTGCGGCCAAAACGCAAGGAAAAAACCTACGCAGTTTCTCAGACCATTTTCAATGATAAAATCGTCTTTTTCATCAGGTTCACCTGATTTTTTTTTAGTTTTGGAGGACAGCCAAATTGTATGATAATCTAGGATATTTCGAAATACGCAATGCAAAATTTAACACCATTGATCTCAATAGGAAACATATTATTTGCTGTAAAAAAATCAAGTTTATTAATCAACCAGAGATGTCTTACCGAAAACATACTCTCAAAACGATAATCAAGAAAAAGAGCTAGAAAAAAACAGTCCTAGAGAGTAGAAAGAAAATTTAGCGAAAGAGACTGAAGTTTCTTCACCTTTCTTCTTCATTCAAAGAACTGAGATTACATTAGATAAATTTTCCATCTAAGGTTGTTAGCCCAAGCTCTTTTATTTTCAAATCTAAGGTGCGTTGGCATGGGTTGAAAGGAAATTGTGTATAATCTAAAAAAATCTAGTTTCAACCACGCAATAATAATTTTTAAATCAATATGCCAAACTTTTTGCTAGGTGTCAATAACACAGCGGATATTAAAAAAGTTATTCCTTGGACAGGTAACTTTTCCACCCAATTTTTTTAATTTTTCAATTTTTTTTTATTCCAATTCTATGTATTGATTTGGTTTTAACTGGATTATTTTTGTTTTTGTTTTGCAAAAAGAAAAACAAACATCGTATTCAGGAGGAGTCGACCAGGTCTGTTCTTCTAAATAACTCAGTTTTTGAACGAATTTTTTCGTGGGAAAGTGATTTAGAACTAGAATTTTAAATTTGGAAAAACTCTCCTTTGCGGGCATTTCATCACTTGAGTATTTAAGAGATATTCGGGATTTTTATTCTTGCAAAGGTCGTGTGAAGTTTCCTGGGGAAAATTCCAGGAGCTTATTTCTCTCCTTGAATTAAAAAAATATTTCTGACTAAATTATACTTTGCTGGGACATAAGAACAGATATATTTCTCCCAGGAACCCATCGTCTCCTCTTGCGTATTTCCAATTAAAAGTGTTGTTTCTGAGCAACAGACCAACAATATCAGGAATATAGCAGGCTAACACATTACCACAACCCATCTCTGTAAAACATATTTTAATTAGCACTAATTGGAGAGAGTTCTGCAAAGGCGTTAAATTAAGATAAACCTGTGTTGACAATGGAACAGCAACCTGCAACAACGCGAGTCAACAAGCTACAATCTAGGAACACTAAAGATTTCCCTTTTTTATCAAAATTCTGCGCATAAATAAAGTTTGATAATKTTAAAATTTCTTGTTTTCCCTGAGCTATCATTGTCTCACTTTTAAGTATTGCGTTTTGAAATCACAATTCTTGTTTGATGCTGTTTGGGTCCATCAACAATGTTTTAGGGGAGGGGAGGGGAGGGTCGAGCGAGCGTTCTGTTTACAAAGTACATTCAACGGTGCGTGTATTTTCAACAATTTGACTATGAAGGCTTACTCAGAAACCCATATGGGACTTGAAACGTTTAACGCACGTACATTTCTTTCTACCAAGCGTCAGAATATTCAAAGCTCATTAAAAATTCGTAAACGAACGTTATGACCATATTTGCATGATTCGGCGTTGTGATTTAAGGAATAAAAGACGAAATTCCGTGTTTGATACTCTGATCAAAACACGCGGGATGTAGGGAGAGCACGAGAGAAGCGTAGGAAACCACGACGCGTAGCGGAGTGGTTTCCAGCTTTTCGAGTGCTCTCCCTACATCCCAAGTGTTTTGACCAGAGTATCAAACACGGAATTTCGTCTTTTATTTCTTTTCTAAAATTAAAAGAAAAAAAGAAATTTTTGACGTGCGCGAGCGTGTTTTGATACTGTAATCAAACATGGTTTTCGACCAATCACAGCGCGCGTAGTATCCTAAATATTTTAGAAAAGAGATTTAAGGCCCGCTCTGGTTGCCTATAGGGAAATGAGATGCAAATTAGATTTGAATATTTGAACGGTTGGCACGGCGTTACACGTTTCAAGTCCCTTATAAGATAACTTTCTGGTGTCATTTGACTATCCAGTAGCTGGTGTAGAGACCAGCGTAATGGCTGCTAGCTCCAGAAGGAGCTCATACGTTCAAAACTTCCCCAAGTTTTGACTGTGAGAGTAACTTGATACAAGAGGAGCCGATGGGTTCCTGGACCGGGGAGTACTCCCCCCCCCCAACTTGGTTGGGGGTGTGCCGCTGGAACCTCAAAACCCTGATCCTGTTCAAGAGTAAAATCACTGAGAACGATACCCTGTTCCGGAGTAAAGGAAATCCCGAATATTAAGAGGTTATTAACCGAGGACGAGGTCTGTACAGGAAAAATATCAGACCGAGGTCTTGACAGTACGGACCGAGCGCAGCGAAGTCCGTACATAAAGAAACGAGGTCTGATATTTTCCCATACAGATCGAGCAAGCGGGGTTAATAACTCGTTTATTATATGGCTTTTGCATCGTAGATTATGTAGGAGAATTACTCAAAGTATATCATAGGTAAAGTCTCACTGGTCAACTTGCAGCCCGTTGCCTCATCAGATAGCAACGCTTTTCTCAAATATTCTCACGATATGAGTAAAATTACACAGAAATCGAGTCATATTTTCAGTAATTGTCGGCTAAAAAGACGGGGATTTTGGCTCCTTGTTTCATAGATTCAGTTTATTTTCATACACAAATACATTATCATTACAGCTTACTCACAAATTCTCATTGATTCTTCTATCGTCGCGGCCGTCGGTGTATTATAGATTTGTTTACTTTTTCGAAGTGGATGTCCCTCAATAGAATTACAATTTCTTTCTTTTCCAGCAACCGAGGAGTTATTGCATCGAGAAATTGCCAAAGTAAATTTGATAGACAAGGATTATGCACCGCGAAGTGCTTGAAAGTTCCTTTTTGGGCTATCTTTAAATTGTGGTAAATACTTATCGAGCATTTCTAAGTTGGATTGATGCCGTTGTAATGAAAACAACTGTGCAGTCAACTCGGAAAAGGAGCGGGAAAGTCAAGTGCTAAGACGCGAAAGCGAACAAAAAGGTGGGAGTAGTTGAAATTGAGCCATCTTTCTTTCAGATCATTAAAAAAATGATTTTGTTTGAATTTTTTTATTGGAAAGAAAGTCTCAAATCTGATAAACAAAGTTGTCTTGATTCCCTCGGTCCGACCTACGGAAAATATGGAAGTCGGACTAATTACCATAGCAACGGTCTAATACGGCTCTGGACTGACCACGCGTCAGCCAATCAGAATTCAGGAAACTTACAAGCCATATAATAACTCTTCAATGCTCAAGTGATTTAATGACCGTATGAGTTTTTCCCAATTTTCCCTGGTCGGCTCCTCCT